AATTAAACACTGTCCTCCAGTCCCAACATGTTTAATTTAGACAGGTTTTACTGTAGTATGCACAGGTCACTAAGTGAGTAGAAAGAGCCAAGCGGAATGAAAAATGAATTGTTTCCACATGTGATATTGAATTTTGTTGAACGCACAGGTGGCACACAATCTTTGGCGTTGCCCCACTGGCGTTGTTCCGCATCTATGCAGAAAAGCCAGTAAAGCGCAGCTTAATACAAAGGATAATAGAAACTAGTCTAATCGATTAGAAGCAAAACCGACTGAACCAGGAAAAGTAGCGAGCTAGAAGTGCGTGTACCACGGATTCTATGATCTTACCGCCTAATGTGGGCGGATATATTACTTTGTCCATAAAACACGAAGTGAATACGTTTACTGTGCTGCTATCACTTTCTCGTCCTAACATTGCCATATCTATACCAAATTACTCTGCCGTATTGCCAAAAACAAATCGTATCTCGTAGAATTTAAATTGACGCATTTACCTTACAATCAAATTTGAGTGAAAAAACAAATATTACATGATTTCTTAATATCATTATTGAAAAACTGATCTGCTATCATCTATGATCATCGCAATTATTTAGATTTTATTGCTGCTGTATATGTGTATTAAAATATCAATAAACGACGTGAGCTTCTGTCATAAGAATTTACAGAAGTGAGCGATGACGCTAGTTAGGACGGTCACAATTTTCTCGCTAGCGCACGCCAAGACGAAATTACGCCCAGCAGCGTATTTGAAAGAATTTATTGGAATCTTTATATGTTTACTAAAACAAACATATACAAACTCTGATAAACTCTGAAGGGAGAATGCAGTCTCAAACAGAAAGTTTAGTCTCTCACGAGATTGGGTGTGCAGAGATCACTCATATGCATAGCTTATAAAATTTGGTTCTTAAAAGATTAGTAGGCATGCTACTGTATAAAGAAGATTCACCAGCCAGTTTCGTGTGACGTATAATTTTGCGCCAAAAATTCATAGGCACAGAAACCATCCTATTCGTTCTTTCATCAGGTTCGGGGATAGAGCTGGTCGGTTGACTGGCTGGTACAAATGGCTAATCCAAACATTATGATTTGTTTCACTGTTGCTCTTCGTATGAATATGCTCACGAGGCAAAACGCTAATTTGTGGCTCATAGGAAAATTTATACTACATATAGGCCATAGCACCAGCCAAAACGTGACGAGTGCAGGCCACACATCAGAAATAAGCTCGAGTTTTATCATACAGACAGCCGCGGCGGTTAAGATAAATACGTGCACGGCACTGCAAATGATAGCAAATGTATACATCGCTCCGCGCAGCCAGTGAGGTGATAAGTGTGGCCAAGCGAGCTCAATTTTTATGATTGTGAATTTAACCACAAATAATACTTCATAATAATACTTCAGACTATTTCATGATAATATTTTCAACCCAATTTTGAAGCTGAATTTTTGCAAAAAAATATTTATTTTTTGGTAATTAAGAATTACAAAATGATTTCGAAATCTATCAAAGCCTGGCTACAATACCACAGTTATGAATACTAAAAATTTAAACGAATTTGTCTACCACTTATATGCATTTTTATTTTTGATCTAGTAATAACATACGATCTTTACCGAAAGAAAAGAAACTCCAGAGTATGACTGACCTGCGATTTCCCCAAAATAGCTCAGGCGTGCAGGAAGACGGCAAGCATAATATCAAAATACCGTTAGCTGCCCACGTAAACATCGGATGAAGATATGTTTGACTTCACCAACACAAAGCACGTGGATGAAGCTTGTTCCTCGCAGTCTTGCCTTTTAAGACGTATTCACGCATACCTTGGTAAACAAAGACATATCTTAAGTATAGCTGGCGTTAATACAATTTGCAAGAACAAGATTACAGCTGCATGATACACGACATCATGCGTCAAATTTGAGCGCATGATAAACCAAGTTTGACAAGAACATGAACAACTAGATATTTAATGTCACAGACATGACGAGGAATGTTTTGTTACGTAGTCTCTCACGACATAATTACAATAAAAGGCGGGGGTATTCCACTGTCATTCTATCACAAGCGCATACGTAATCCCGAAGTTTAACTTAAAGCTAAAAGGATTTTTGATAGTTGATAATAATATCAATGAATGCAAATCAAGCTATCTCAATAACTTAATGTACTATACGTAACAAACATGCATAGTTAAATTACATAGAAAGCGATGAATAAAGAAAATTTAGCGAGCCAGAGGCAATATAAACGTTACTACCAATTGGGTTTTCTTATCTCTCTGTGTCCGTCCGGGTACATGGATAAAGCTGGCCCATTCGATGAGTCGAAATGGACACATTTGAGTTCAAACCCACTCTAAACACCTAGTCTGACTTTTATACTTTTGGGGTAAGCCCTTATTACAAATATACATCGCGAAGCATAACGCAACTATGGTAATTTCTTTTACCCATTGGCAGAATTTTATGCAGAAAAAGTGCCGCAACGATAGGTCTGCATGGCGGATGAACGGCACGCTTGTGTTTGACGCCGGATCTAATGGGTTTCATAAAGAGTAAATCAAATAAACGTTTTGCATATTTGTATATACTATACGGTTGTGGGGGGTTTTGCTTGGCAAATGGAGCCCCCAAAAAATGGTAAGGATGGAATTGTTAACGGTTTACATGCAGATACTATGAAGTTCGCCCTGAACATAAAAATACTTCCTATTAGCAGAAATAATACCTTAGGGATTTTGTTGGAGTAGCAATTGGGTAACACCCTTATAATTTTTGCGGTATGGGCTGCAACTAGACCCCACAATCCAGATTCAGCTCTGCCACTTCAATCTTTGGTGCTGTGCACGTTAAGATCCGACCTTGTGCACGTTAAGATCCGACCTTGACACGCCAATGTTCGCTCGCTAGTGTCAGAAAGTCTATTGACAATTTGGGATACATTCGGCAAGAAGAATCGGTTTAGCTGAGTCGCCCTCCTCTGCAGCTGGGCTGCCGTAGCTTTGCGCTTTGAGGAAGCGTGAGTTAGGTCACCGACCTTTCGCTCTATACTTAGAACAAGTACGAAATTAGCGGATCGCAATCCGCTTACTCCAAGAGTAATTACAACCTTAGTTCTAGCTAGTTAACTCTTCCGTTTAAATTATAAACTGACATTGTTTATTTTTATCTGCGGCAAAGCCGCCTGATTTTAAATGCATAGATTTTCCTAAATATGTATAGTAAGATCAAATTTACATGCATAACTATTGGCTATCCAGCCCCGTACCGTATTCTTGTTTGGGTGTGTTCACACCATGCCCATCTGGTGTGACACATACCCCTGTTACCAGGGTATGTGTAACCCCGTTACACTCTCCGCATTAAGATTGAGAACATTTACAGTTCCATTCGATTATTGCCTCAATGAGACTTGCGTGTCCGCTAGACACTGCGTTAGAGCAAAATGACTTCCGTGCTCAATAAGCCCTATGTCAACGACACTGAAGTCACCAAGCCTCGCTGGTTCCGACAGCGTACACGGGCAGAGCCTAACTTCGTCTTCTGCACGCGGTGTCATGTCGGACCGTGTGTCCGCGGCATCGAGGGATGTAAATCCTAGGCTCGATGAGCCCGGGCGTCGCGCTCCGCGTACGCTATCAGTGACGAGTGACCTCGTTGGGGATGTGGAGGTGCTCGACGACGAGTCTGATACTCCTTTTCCCGGGTGGAATGACGAGGAAGGCGAGCCGCGCCAGCGGCGTGAGAGGAGCCCTGATCTCGCCTTGCGGACCCCATGTCCGATTCTCAACCTCTCATCACCTGAGGGACGTGGTGTCATCACCAATGACCTCGTAGAGGCACAGAGGCGGCAGCTGGAACCTGCCCGTTAGGCGGCTCTAATGTGCGCCCATCCACGGTCAGTAATTGACCCTCGTGCGGAATATGGCATTCGCCCGGCGGATCCCGCTGTGGAAGCGAAGGACGCAGTAACTCGATCGTTACGTGTCCACAGTATCGGGCCCCCACCCAATACGGAAGTCGGGCTTGCCGAACGAAAAGCTCTTCGAGCTCGTTTCTTGGCCCCACAAGAAATTCCGTTGAATCTTTATCGCACTCGTCTACGTGCTCAATGAGGTGGCTCTCGACCCGCAATGCGGACGATACCTGTAGTGCTCACCCCTGGCGAAGGCGCTACAGATGACGCAGTGCTCTTTGAGCGATGGGTGCAACGGCCCGATAACTTTCTGACCACAAGAGCTTACGGCCACCGCTTGAGCTCAACTCATGGCTCTTCTACCTCTCTGGCTATTGCCGGGAAGCGTTGGGCGTCTAATGACGCGGGGCGTCCGACTTTTTCTGATCAAAAGCATTCACGGCATCTGGGCAATCTTGCCGAAGTGGCGTCTCAAACTCCCACGAGTCCTCGGAGTCGGGATATTTTTGCCACTTCACCATATATTCGGTCTGACCCTAGTGACGACGTCGTCTCACTAGACGTACTACGCGATAGTCGATGTCACCGTTCTCATCGAGAAGAGTCGGTAGCGGGCGGTGACGACCGGGTAGACCGCCGCCCGGTGACGCGCGATGCGTTTCGATCCCTTGAGGATGCGATCCTTCGTGATCGGAACTCCTTTTAGCGTCAGGCTGAAGTAGCATATCGCTGTGCGGGCGCTCTTGCTCACTTAAAGCGCGTCGTGCGCCGGCTGCCTCGCCTTGAAGAGTACCGCGCTCTGTCGGAGCGACTCCTAGCCATGGAGCAGGCGAATGCGTCGCTGCAGGCAACGTTGGGGCGCTTGGCTCCATTGGGGTTGGAGTTTGTTGCACTTCGTGCTCAGAACTAGGTGCTGATTTAGTTTCTGGGTGGCCGAGGGCACGTGGGATTCGCCCGTCGTCAACGCTTCCGCATTCACTTTTTCCGGATCCCGGTACGGCTTGGGCAAGCCCACGTATAACACCGGGTGGGTGCGCATCCGTTTTGGAGGGTTTAGCGTACACGCTAGCCCCCGCTTGGCCACAGCCTTAAACGGTTCAATAAAACGTGGACGAAGCTTCGTCCGGAAGATAGCAGAGGCTGCATGTGTAGGCGAGTTTTGAGAATCTAATCAAACCAGGTCCCCGACCTTGAGGCTTTCCACTTTGCCAATTCCTTTTCCATTCGCACATTCATTCTGCAGGTCTTGGTTTTCAGTCATCGCGTCGCGAACTTGTCGTAGGACACTCAGTCTGGTAGACAAGAAGCCATTGAA